AGTTGGCTTTTGAACCAACTGCCCCTGGACCACGCCAGGGCCTAGAGCTGCGCTGTCTAGTCCAGTAGCCACAAGCCAAATGTGACATTTGAATTGAAAATAAAAATAAGGTCCTCACATTGCATTTGCTTGATATGTCTCTTAAGTTTCTTTTTTTAAGATAAATAGACTCTGTGCTTTAGAGCAGTTTTAGGTTTACAGGAATATGTAGCAAAAGTACAGAGTTCTCATAAACTCCCCCTCTCCCCACCCCCAGTTTCCCTCATGATTAGAGTTGGGGCGGTGCTCTTCTTCAGTCTCTTTTAAATCTATAACAGCTCCCATTTTTTGGTAAGCTGTTTGTTGGAGAAACTGGGTCATTTGTTGCATAGAATGTTCTACATTCTGGATTTGTCCTTGTGCTGGTTTTTAACATGTTCCTCTGTCTCCTATATTTCTTGTGTATTGGTGGTTAGATTTAGAAACTTGATTAGATTGATGTCCCGTATTTTTGGCAAGGAGAATTCCCCAGTGGCTCTGTGAACTTCCTCTTGCATTACATCAGGCACTTGGTGTCTGGTGCCCCAGTTTTAGTGATGTGAAGATTGATTAGTGGTCTGTAGCACTCTTGACAGCCTCTCTGGACCACGTCCTGGGATCACTGCCCTGGAAACATCCTCTCCCTTTCCTGAGACCCCATTTCCTTCCTTAGACTACCTGACTTCTGTGACCCGCAGCCCACCACCTAGGCACCAAGATTGAGGCCCCAGGACAAGCGGTAGGAACCCAAGGGGTAAGTAGTGTGACCCCAGGAAAGAGGTATGAGTGGCCTTTGCCTGTCTCCAGGTTACATCCACTACCAGCCTGCCCAGGACCGGCTACAGCCCCACCTCCTGGAGATGCTGATTCAGCTGCCAGCCAACTCGGTCACCAAGGTCTCCATCCAGTTTGAGCGGGCGCTGCTCAAGTGGACCGAGTACACCCCGGACCCCAACCACGGCTTCTATGTCAGGTGGGCTCCACCCCCACAGGCAGCCCCCCACCCTCCTGATCCACCCTCTCTGCCATTCACCCCTTGGTGGGGGAGCCCGTTGGGAACACTGGCCATCTGTCTGCTTTTCCGCAGCCCATCTGTCCTCAGCGCCCTTGTGCCCAGCATGGTAGCAGCCAAACCAGTGGACTGGGAAGAGAGTCCCCTCTTCAACACCCTGTAAGTGTAACCGCACCCTCCTGAGAGTACATCCTCAGTAGCCTTAACACAGATGATCCGGCTCCTGCACGGTGGGTTGGGGTGGATGTTACTGCTTCCAAAGCAATGTGTGCATGTCACTCACTCTTATCGAAAGTCCTGGTGGTCTATGATATTTGTAAAGACTTTATAAAACGGTTTTAAAGTGCTTCTAGAAAAATAAATAGGTGAGAATAGCAGTATTTACAGCCTACATGTAGTCAGC